GCTGTATTTATGAGAGGGATCCTTCTGAGGATGCCTCACATTTATAAGTGAGCATTCTTGTAAAGATCAGTGCGTTTTCATCTTGAATTCCAGACAAGGATATCCCACATTGGATTGGGTACAAGCTTATGATCCCCAAAGTATTAAGGCTAGCTCTGCTTAACATTTTATTTCTTAGCAGAACACTTCAGGAATTCAGAGAGAGGATCACCCAGCTAGATCAGGGTGTTAGCCTGCCCTTGGAGCATAGACAAGATAACTGTGGAAATGAATGATGGAATGAACTGAGCCCTCGTATGCTATGTTGTTTATCATACTTGTAAGGCCACAGCCATCAGAACGTGTGCATTTTTCCCTTAAAACATCTTTTGAGTGGTAGTTGTGTGAAACAATGATCTGTTGAATTTAATTCACAGATCAAAGAAGGAGGAAATTAACCAACACAGTAAATTGATTATTTCATGGGTGACATAACCAAGGCAATGATTTATCTTAATAAAGAGCAACTACCCTCTAGTCCTTAACTGAATTCCAGCCAATGCAATAATACTCGGCTGTTAATGACTTTGATGTTGATGTGGAAAAGTGAATGGCTGCATAATCACTGAAATGGGACCTCATCACAGTTGGAAACGTTTAAGCCAAATCATTTTGGACTGTGAAAGAGCCCTGAGTGGTAGAGATTGGCCGGGTCCCAGCTCTTCAGTCTTAACTAAACAGGGCCTGAAAACTTTATCATGTTGCAGTGCTCTGGACTGGACCATAACTCTGACGGCTCACGGGGACTGGAGTTTAATGTATATGTCTGTGGCCTCGCAGAGGAAAAAGAAAGAATTCCAGGGCTTACAGCACCGATAATAAATACATGTCTATCAGCATTCAGCTGAAAGTGTAATTAGTTAAATCCGTCTTTGGGAGAGGGAATAGAAGAAAGGAAACAGAAGTCAACTTTTTAAAAAGCTTATTTTTATACCCCATGTTACTAAATATGGCTTAAGAGCTTGCAAGACAGCATTAGTCATAGATGGCAGCCTCCACCCCCTCCCCTCCTCCACTCCCCTGCTCAAAATAATAAAATGAACTAAAATTAGAGCTGCTTTCAAGTATGCTCACTTGATTATTATTATTTGAGTACAGCTGAGAAGTCTATGTGGAGAGAGAGGGAGCACCCTTGGAACATAAGTGACTCCCTGGTGAGCACATTTTTGACTTCCAAATGGGGAAGGAAAAACATCTTTGGTCTCAGTCCAGTCATCATCAGCCAACCCCATAGATTTCCTCTTGTGCTAATCAGATCCTGCATAACACCAGCTTCCTAGAGTTAAATTATTACATCCATGTATTATAATGCCAGTCTTTAGCAAGCCCCTCCAGTACACACCTCTTTCTCCTTATCCTTATCTCCACCCCATCTACCCTCCTCACCGCCTCCCACTGTCCCCAGATGCTCCAGAGCAGAAGTTCCAGGGAATTGTCCAAGTGAGCCACACACGCTCCATAGCCACAGTGTGATGACCCCTTAGGAGAAATACAGCTGCAGGTACAGCTGGAGGGTTGCCAGACACTTGCCTGTTTAAATGCCACAGAGTCCCCAAGCTCAAGAAATTCAAGATGCCTCATTCTGATCATTAAAAAAAAAAAAAAAAGGGACATTGTTTAGAAAGGATTGTTAAACTGCTCATCCAGGCCTGCAGCTGGGGTTGACTCATCCTACAAAGCTGGAAAATGCCCATGTGGCAAGATTAGAAACTCATTGGTGTGGCTGGCGTGGCCTTGCCAGGAGCCTTCTCCTTTCTCGCCTCTTTTTTTTTAATCCAAAGCTTGATCAGTTTATTACTTTGAAGGCACCCTTTGCCTGCTCTGATGCTGCCATGGCCGTATCCAGTCAGCTTTTCCTCTAGGCGTTAATGATCCTCAATTTTGTTTCTGTTCAGAAACCTACTTAATGTGATATCATCTGGGAAAATTCCAAATAGTCTTGATTTTTAAAATATTTTGCCCTCCCCAACTGTCCTCCCTCCTGCATACACAATTCTTTTGTTTTATTCCCTCTTCGAAGATCAATCTGAAGCCAAGTGCTTTTAATTTTTAGCTGCATTTTGCAAGCCTGGACTTTCAGGAATATATGTTATGAAAGCAAGGAAAGAAAAGACTTTCTTGTCATCAAAACCATAATAATTATGTGTCAAAGATAATTACTGCTTGGTGTGTAATACATCTAATACCAAGTGACAGAGAAAGTAGTCTACCGGCAGACAAGAGTAACTGCCGGCTGGCTGAAATCTGATATAAAATTAACACAGCCCCTAGCTCTCTGCCCACTGGAATTTCACCAGATAGAGGCTAGCACCACCCCCCAACATGAAATTCGTAGCAATGACTAGTTTATTTGGGCACGTTGTGAGGGTATTTTTAAGAAATGCATGTATTTGTGAGCAAAAAAAGTCACTTGTCTCTCTCATAAAGATAAAAGACCACATCCAAGTATCCAGGTTGCTGCTTGAGAAATTATTTATAAAACAGCTCAAAAGAGCAAACCAAACTCTGGGTAATAAGAGCTAGAAGCTTGCAGAGATAGGTCAGTAGTTCTGCTCCATAATGGATTTACAATGTAAGTCTTCTCTGAAAAAACCAAAGCTTTAAAGGCAAAGCACACAAGATGATTAGAAGACGACACCACTATTGGAACCACGTGGGTAAAGAGAAATCTAGAGCTGTTGCCAATGTAAAACGTGATGTTGTTGGAGAAATTTCCCCACTCTAGGTTGGGAGGGATATAGGTAAGGATAACTATGAAAAATGGCAAGCATGACAATTGGGCTCAAAGCTTCCTCTGGGCAACTTTCTGGCTGAGGGCGAAGCCCAGTTTCTTTTGGCTGGGTGGTCCCTGCGCCCCATTTCACCATAAGCAAAATCAGCTGTGCCAGGAAAAACTGGCTTGATCCCAGCAAAGGCAAATATTGGTTGCCAGTAGGCAGGGCTGCAGAGTTTATGCATCATTTGATCTAGTCTGAATCATACCCACCTCATTAACAGTAAAAATTGTCTCTGCAACAGTAGGAGAGACCAGAAAGTTAGGAAAAGAACCGAGTTGCTACGAACTGTTCCCTGATTAGCTGAAATCACTAATCTGCTTGCAGATGCTTTGCCAGTCCGTACACAGTTGTGCAATAATTGGGCATAGAGGCACAAGCAAGGATGTTGTATACAGAGGCACAAGCAAGGATGTGTTTAAAGAACTTTAGTGATCCTGCAAGGTTCCAAGCTGACTCATGGCCATGCATGCTCTGTCAGGACTAAGCCTGGATTCAGCCCTGAAGCATCTCTGCAGTCTTAAACATGAATCCTAAGGGTGTCTATTGAGTTCATGCTTATCCCCATCAAAATCCTACTACTGCTTCATTGAAATAGATCATTCTGATTCAGTGCTAAATTGCTCCTATGCCAGTTGACTGAGGGACATCAGCCATACAGGTTTCCCTCATTAGCTTCAGGGATTAAATCCTTGAAAAGTTCTGAGTTTAGCAAAATTACATTTAGCAAGACCAGTAATCAGAAAGTAATTAAAATGGTGTTAAGGTCAAATATCTAAATAATAATGAATATAACGTCTAGAAGCATCTGACTTCAGAACTCTGGAATAATTAGCATTTGAAATGTCCTCCAGTTGTGAACCATTTATTTGTTTAGAAATGTTACTTCATCATCCTAACTGACTGAGGCAGATATCTTACAAATTTTATGCAGTGTAAACTATACCAGATCAATTTTTTTTAAAAAAATAATTCCTCACTACATTGAAATTCAAAGTCCTCTGCACTGAGGTCCTTGCCTTAGTCTTTGCTATGTCTGTGAAATTCTTATGCAACTAATTGTCTATCCTTTTCCTAAGTATTGGTCTGCTTAAGTGCACCTATTACTGGCAGTCCTCTACCTCTATTTGAGGGGTCAGTGTGTAAATAATCCCCCTCAACTCCATTTTATAGACCTCAACACATGGTCTGCTGAGGGGGCGGTAAGAGAGAATTGAACTAATTTGAATTGCACATACAGAAAAGGAAAAGGATCATTTTTGAAATATTTAGTATACGAATACAAACCTATGTTGAACTCAAACCCAAAGCCAGTGAGGGATTACAAATTTACCCTCCCTCCTCTCAGAGAAATTGAGTGTGGTGAAAAATGAAGTTCTGAGATATGAAAAGAATGTCACAAAGTCTCAGGAAATCAGAAAATTATTCATATTTTGGCTTCTATATCAATGTGTTTAGGATTCTCTTCACAAAATATGGTAACATGTATTTCTACTATGATTTTCTTTCAATGCAAACTATAGTTTTACTTTTCTGAAGATTATTTTATGAAACAGTTCAGTTTTATTAGTGCTTGACCCAAAGATATTATTTCAAACAAGAGAAAGAAATGAAGGTCTTTTGACGATATATGTGTCTATATATAATATATTCTTATTCCATAGATATTGAAATATTGTACCATCTTAATAATATTCTTGGTAATCTAAAATGTAGCACAGAATTTGCAGTAAAGTTTATAATGGACGGTAATTAAAGTATATACTATACAATAATCCAGAAACACATCCAAATAAATACAAATAGAAAAAAAAGTAAATGACATTTTACTTATTTTACAATAAGTTACTGACTTTTTTTTTTTTTGGTCACATGGATTATATCAAATCTTAACAAAAAAGTATCATTAGGACACTGTATTTTGTTACAGGTATCCACAATAGTTAGCAAGGTAAAATCTTCTCTAAATTATATGACTGAGAGTAGGTTTTCTGGTACACAAAATCTTTAAAAAATTGTCTCAGACAAACATTTATTTATAGTCTGGTCTCTGATATTCCAAGTTATGAGATGTCAGTTCTCAATTTACCAAGTATAAGGTATTATCTCTATTGGAAGGCCATGGCATACTTTAATATTCCCGCACACTCCACCTACCTTGAATGCTGATACCCAGACAGGCTTCAGTGATTCGTCATTTCTGGCATTCACTTCCTTGAGACATCTGATTGGATTGAAATGATGTCAAGAGAAAGAGAAAATATACAAATCAGGGATAGTCACAAAAAAAAAAAAAAGCATTTGGGTTTCTTTAAGTCTCTTGTTACTAAAGAAAAATTTTCAAATGAATCTTATTTATCTTCAGCCATACACAAAAACAAATAACCTTGGAAAGTTGTTACAGAAAAGCTGGCAAAGAAGGTGCAAATAACAAATGGTTAAGATGTTCTTTTTTACAAATCAGTGTCACAACATAGAGCAATATCATGGTTAACATGTTTTGTGACTCCATGCCTGTCTTTAGTATGAAACATTACATCATTCACTGAAGAGCAGTAGGTTTTTAGTTATTGTCTTTGTTCTATTTCCAGCAAGAAATCGGCAGCAATGGCTCCTAGTAGAAAGGTGAGCAGGTGACAAAGGCTGGTGTGACTTGCTTTGTCTAGGGCAGTAAATGTGTGGGAAATGGCCCTGAAGTGTGATGTGGGCCACTCATTACCCTAGTGTCCATTTATTATTTCCCTCTTTGATGGTCTCCTTTGCCAGTCTGGTTTACATGCATTTAACTATCTCATGGACTATAGTCAGCCCTAGCATTTTCCCAGAGTTCTTTCCCTATTTTCTAAGGCTTAGGGATAAGGACCACAGTGGTTTCCATCCCATAGCTACTGCTATTAGTTCAACTATTCAGTTTTGAAATATAAAAACTCCGAGGGTGAAATGAAGCTTTAAGTGTTAACAAAATCCTCTGGGTTTTTTATAGGAAAGACTAGTACAGAGTACCTATTCCAATGCTCTATTTTTACTACCACTCTTTGTCTTTGCATGGAAATGCTTTTGTTTAGAGCGATGTTAAATATCATCTATCCAGACAGTGACAGGAGCATTGATCTGCTTTGCCTTGCAATGAGCTGAACATGGTTCATCCATTCCCACAGCCCAAACCTGGGCCAAGTGGATGAATGACTCTGACAGGGAAAAGTGGGAGCTTCCCTGATTAATAGCTAAGATGCAGCGTATTTGAAAAAGAAATTAGAAGAATGCATTATCTGGAGACATTTCCTGCCACCAAATCACCCCCACTTAGACCGATGACTGAGAAATCCCAGAAGGCGTTCTCCCCTGAATGTGGCCTACGTCAATGGCACATTTCTGAATTGTCAGGCTGAAAGCCCATCAATAGTCATAAAGAGAAGGATGTGTCCTCATCGGGGGTGTGTTGATGGATCTGATCCAGAACATGAGAGGTGATTCCTGGGTTAGTTGGATGTTGGACATATTTGGGTCTGGTGACTGTGCTTCTGATTCTAAATCAAAACCATGCTCCTCCCTTCGTTCAGTATATTACATAATATACACAGGGCTGTCTATATGCATAATTATCACTGCTCATGAGAAACAGGCCCAAAAGAATTCTCTGACCTTGTGCTGATAAATTGTGCTGAAGGAACAAGGGGCTCAGAACTGCCAGTCTCAGTTACAGACTCTGAAAAATTAAGTTGGACTGAAGGGAAATCAAGCTTCTGCATGGCACATTTCTCAGTAGACTGATACTCCACTCTATTGAAGTCTGCTCCTCAGGACCTCAGTTCAAGCCCTACCTCTGCTCATCAGTCAGCACATCATTGCCGGCACTAAACAACATGCTTGTAATTTCCAACCTGACTGGAATTAGCTCCTGAGAGGAGCAAGAGGGGAAGCCAAGGGGGAAGGAAGTTAGAAAGGAATGGTTCAGAAAGTACTCTTTCTAAATCAGAAACATCTGCTGGAGTCATAAAATGGTTTTAAGTAGAAATCGGCGACAAGGGGGTCGACACAGAAGAAGAGAGGAGTGAGGGCCCCACCCTCTACAGTCTCCAGGTAACCGCCACAAACGATGTGATCGGATAGTAGAGAAATCTCGTGAACCTGCTTGGTGGCTGCGGCTCTGGCCTTTTGAATTTGGCTCCTGTTACAAAGACCTGTGTGATCTGCAGGATGTCTGTGCTGTTCTGAGTGCCCAAACGCAGGGTGTGACTTGGCTACTTCACACACGTTTGTCGTCATCCATTAATGTCACTGCAGACCCTTCTTACTAAATTCCTCAGGGAGCTTTTGTTGAAGAAGCAAGGAGTGAAAGAGACACTCCATTCCCTCAGCTCTCATAAAATCCTCACTCGCACTTATATGATTTTCCTAAAGACACAAAAAATATGGAATGCAAAAAGGAGCAGAAGTTTCTACTTCTCAGGCGCCTGTGTTGATGGATAGTTTAGAAAAACCTCAATATGGACCTTCTAGAAGGAAATCATGAGCTGCTCAGACTTCATTTCCTTCTTTTATCAAGCTTGCCTTGATAAAATTTAAAATGTAATTTAATTAAAAAAAGATGACTTTTCAACCCATGTTGTCACCAGCACAGAAATTCTTTATTCATACTTTTAATAAATTCAGTATAACCCTCCCCACCCCCAGACACACAGACACACACACCCCTCTTCCTAATTCCATGTTTTGATTGAAATTCAGAGATCGCCAGATTTCAGCCAACATCTAACTAACGGTGTTGTAGGTGTTGGTCTGAAAGGAGAGTGTGACTGAAGAAATAACCGAGCACCTCAACATAAGTGAAAGTTTAGGGATAAAAAAGAGATAGAACTTACCAGAATTTGCATCAGTATAACAGATGTGGAATTGTTAGGAGTGGAGAAGAGGAAGAGGAGGAAACATAAGCCAACCTTATTTTAATCCAACTCTGCAAGTCTCAATAAGGTGAGCACCGCTCTGCTATGAAATAGCTAGAGGGAGGGGGTGGGGAACAGTGAAATAAAGAATTTCTTTAAAAGCAAACTTCAAATTGCAACCACATCAATCATTCCCTGATTTTAAAAAAAAACAAATGAGTGCTTTTCTCCACAGTTGGAAATTTCATTACTTCTGTATGTTCTCCTCTTTGTTTATAAGCTGACTAAGAACTCCTGGAAGTTTTGCTTACACTTGGGAAGAGGGGTCAGATTTTTGATGGCCCCAAATTTGCCCCAGGGATTCTGCCTCAAGACTAAAGTTTAACTTATTTTTCCTTCTCTTCTTGGCTTGTTCTTATAAGGGAACAATAAATATATCTTTCAAATAAAACATTATAAAACAGGCTCCCTGCCATGTTGGAGTATCCAAAGAGTTACTCATGTAATGGGGTCTTAATGAAATACAGATCTTTTAAACTCACGTCTAAAATGTCATTTTGCACGTGACTATTTTATTGTATAAAATGCAGTGGCCAAGCAAGCAAATGAGTTATTAACTGAATTTTAAAAAACGGGGGAAAAAGGTGAGAATCCATTTGGCATTTTGAAAAAAAAATTATGAATTAATAATTAGCTCTTTTTTTTTAATATGCAGGGTTTCAGAAGCCATAAAGAAGGCCCAAGAAGAGCAAAAACAAAAATGATTAATGAAAATGGTACTGGGCTTCTATAAAAGAATAGATGAAAATTCTGGAATTAATTATCTCAAAAAAGAATACAGTAAGAAAGTACAACTTGACTTCATAGAAAAAGTTCTTTCTACATAATCCAAAGTAGAGGCAGAGAAAGAAAAACAAATAAATGATTCAGATGAACACCAGTCAAGTATCTTTCCAGTGATACCAAAACACATTTGGTAAAATTTACAGACTCTTGAAATCCTATTTGAAGATAGAAATGGACTATCAGGAGACCTAAAAGCAATTTCCCTTTACATCAGAGGACCTGCAAGTACTGTATTTTTCTAAGATTATTTATGGTTGATGCTGACCTTTCAAGTACTACTCTAGTAATGAATTATGATACTCAATTAGGAAATTCACACAGATAAAGAAAATAAACCTTTTTGAAGATAAAGTTAAAGGTCCTAAACTGAATTTTCTGAAGAAACTCCTTGTGATTAGATGTGCTTTCATTGTGTCGCACCATATTGGACTGTTTAATCGTGGAGGTAATTTGGTGAGATAAACAATAGTAACTTCACCACTAAGGTGTTTCTTGTTCACTTTTCATTTCTGGGAATTTTGTATGAGATGGCAGCACATTGGAAAGTGAAGAGAGCAAGCAGCTTTTATTCTCTTAAATATCACTCTGAATTCTTGTTCTAAGTTTCATTCTCTAGAACTTTGCTTGTCCTTTGCTTCCTCGGATTGTTCTCCTTCCTTACCCTAGCTCTTCTGTTTCCTCATAGATCTTTTGTGTGATAAAATCGCAGTATAAAGGCCTCCCTGGGGCCTCCCCGGTGGCGCAGCGGTTGAGCGCTGGGTTGCGAAGCTGCCCGCAGCCTCTGCAGCGCCGGTTCGATCCCCGGCTGCTCCCTGGCCACCGGCGAAGGGTCCCACATGGCGTGCAGACCTCTCCTGCCGCCCGCTGCTCCCCTCAGCAGTGTACTTCGGTCCTTCTGCCTGCTCTGCTCCCCACTCTGGCTCTGGTGAACTCTCTCACCCTCCCGCGCTTCTGACTGTACCCAGTGCTTGTATAAATAAATAAATAAATATTTAAAAAAAAAAAAAAAAAAAAAAAGGCCTCCCTGGTGGTGCACAGGGTTACACACCGCAATATGAAGTGGTCCACAGCCTCCGCAGCACAAGTTCAATCCCCAGCTAGGAAGAAACCCACATGGCGAGGAAGACCTCTCCTGTCTCGCCCGCTGCTCCCCTCAGCAGTGTATTTCATTCAGTCTGCCTGTTCTGTTTCCTGCTCTGTCTCTGGTGAATCCTCTCACACCCTGCATCTCTGGCCTGTACCCCAGTTCTTGTATGCATAAATACATAAATCTTTTTTTTAAAAATTGTAGTATAAGTTTGCACAGAATGGAGAAGGACAGCACAGAACAGCTGGCTATTTTTTCTGCCAAACTTCCTAGTAGGATTTCTTACCCATCAGCTTCCTACTTAAACCCATTGCCAGTTTGTGTCTCTAAAACTCTTTCCTATATTGCTCTTCTAGACCTGCAACCTCCAAATTCACAGAAGTTCTATTATTTTTGCAATGGGTCCAG